GCCGCGGGAGCAAGCCGCCGCCGCCGCAGCCGCCGCCGCCGCCGCCGCCACCGTTGGAGCGGGTGATGAGCGTTCCCGTTCCCCGGACGAGGACGAGGTCGGGCGGGGCTGCGCGGCCGCGGCAACCGACGGGTTGGCGACGGCGGCGGCGGCGGGTGCGGCGGCGGAGGGTGCGGCGGTGCCGATGGGCAACGGGGTGGCGGCGGGGGAAGGGCTGGCGGCGTACATGCCGTTCTCGTCGAGAACCACCGGTCCCTCCACGATGCAGATGTCGCACACGCGCTGCAGGCCCTTTTGACCTGGATATTGAACGGTAGAATGTTGCAGAGGGTGGTTAAAAGATGGGGCCCGGGTATTTCGTCGACATCAAACGAGTGGACCAGTCAGGGGTCGAAATAAAAACGAGGAAATGACGAGATCGGTTTGGCCGCCTGGGCAACAAATTCTGCCATCAGCGAGGAGGGGTCACTACTGGGGCTGTCGGGTGCATTTGCGAACGATCCCAGAGGACCGGCAAGAGACAATGAACTAGGCCTTCGAACTGTTGTACAAAGCCCAAGAGAGAGAGAAACAGGGGGAGACAATCAGAGTTGTTGTCCGACAGGACCAAACGCAAGCGACTCGCGACTCGTCAGACGAAGAACCCGAGCGAATGTTGCTCGAACCGAGGACACCGGGTGTGTACATCTAAAGGCCTGAGCGAAATGTGTGCCGTTATTTGTTATTTGGCCCATCACATCTCTGACAGAACGGCGTGTTCCCCAGGCCAAAAGCCGCTAGGTTCTCGACGGTTGTCGTCAATGACGGCAACAACAACAACAGCGTATGAGCAACGCCTACCTTCGACGTGACGCTTGTCGCTCGAGCAGGGCGCGCAGACGCTATCCGCGCAGACGGCGCAGCGCTGACGTCTCATCATCAGGGTGAACGGCGCCGCGCACACCCCACAGAAGGGTTGGTCTGACGGAACGGGGGGGGCACGAGAGACAGGGGGGGGGGTGTGGGGGGGGGGACCCCAAATCCGGGGAGTCCCGAAACCTTTGAACCTTTGCCCCCCCACCCCCCAAAACCGGGGCGTTAAAACCCGGGGTTTCCCCGGAACAGGGTCTCCCATTATCAAACCCCAAACCCCCTGGGGTATTTTGGGAATCCCAAAAAAGGGAAACTCCCTCCCGGTAAAGGTTTTCCGCATCTTTGTCTTTCTTCCTTTCCTAAGGGAAAAAACCACCTATAAATTAATTTTTTTTCTGGGGCTTTCCCTTCCCAAAAAAATTTTAAACCCTTTTTAACTGCCCCCAAAAAACTTTAACATTTTAAAACAACCTGGTTCAAACATCCCCCCTTTCCCCAAAATAAGTTTTTCCACCCCCCCCAAAATAATCTACCCCAACCCCATTCATGGTTACCCCCCAAAAAAAAAACAAAGTAAAAAAAAAAAACCGTAACCTGGTTTCCCAATTCCCCAAATAAATTTTCTTTTTTTAACACCTCCTTTCCCAACC